TAATGTACATTTTATTAAGTTATAACTATGAACTTATCCGTTGTGGAATACATTTCCTATTTACATATATGCTAACGAAAACTCTCGTTGTATATTAGAAGGAGAGGCAGTTTTTAAGGCTGATCATGTGGTACTATATGGGAAAATTGAGCAAAGTTAATTTAAATTTAGAAATTTATATTATGTCTGCAGACTAGTGCCCTTACTTACTAACAACCCTCATGAAATTCAGGGAGTATTATCTATCGGCAATAATATTTTGAAAATTTCTTCAATGGTTTGATGAAAACTTATTTCTGGATTTTTCTTGGACCATGAAGAGCAACCTTGAACTGAACAATAATAGTTTGACAGTTGCTTCTTTCTATCCATAATTGCTGAAGTTTTCCTCACACTATTTTCTTAAAATAACAGTGTTCAAAAAACGAACACTAAACACAGTTTTAAATAAAATACAAAACGAAATGTCACACACAGAAGAAATATTTACCTTGTTTTGCTAGTATCACTTGTCACCGCTAGAGGGCGAGCTCTTAGCTGCATTCGCGAATAATAAATTTATAATTTAAAAAAATATAACCGGGATGTTTTAAAATGTAGTAATAATTAAAATGGTTAATAACCTATACGATGGAGAATTAATAATGGTAACAAACGTATATGAAGGAATTCAGGTGTGAAACTCTAATACAAGTGTAAGTGAAGCTGTTGATATGTGTAGTTCATTGACAAAAGTACCCGTTGCTACTGTTTATCGTGCGATAAAAAATAGTGTGGAAGTAAATCCAAAGAAAAAAGTGAAAACACGAGGGAGGAAGAATATAGAAGTCGATAATGATGTGAAATACTTCATAAACCAACAATAAAGGAAATTCAAGCTGCAATAGCTGAAGATGAGGATATTCCTAAATTTTCTGATAAGGTTCTTAGAAAAACAATGCACGACATGCGAAATATGGCATAAGTGTATTGAACATGGACAGAAAGGGGAACAACATAAGTGGGATATTGATATAACAGTGGAAGTTTTTATAGAACCACTTATTATTCATTTAGGGGAAGATGATGCCAGTGATAGTGATAGCAACAATGATAATTATATATAGTGACAGTAAAGTAAAGGTATGACAGTAAAGTGAATAGTGGCAATGAAGTGAAAGTGTGGCAGTGAAAGGAAAATGTGACAATGATAATATTCGTGTGAGATAATTATTATAAAATATGTAAGTACTTAAACATATAACAGTCAACATTATAATATCATACAAGCCGGGTGGTGGTGGGTCATCAATCGTTTTATAGAAATCACTTAAAATTTAAAAACAAGACGTTGCTAAAATATTTTTGAGTTTTCTTGATGAAACCTCTAAAAATAATAGATGTTATGTTTTATTAACTCTTTCCCATATTTTCTATATTTTGTTGCCTTCTAAACAAATACGCCTATGAATTTTCAATCCCCACACGCATCATCTTCCTTACTAGGCCAAGAGAATTTTCGATCGCTATGTTTAGTCATGTAGTTTTAGACCTGTGATACAGCCTCCATAAATGTTTACAAACAACGTGACCACTGAGCTTAGGCAACCCAATATTGCACAATTGGTACAAGTAACAAAAATTCCCTAAATCTTAGCATCACCAATATTAATGATTCGTTTACAATGAACAATTACAAACTGTTACGTCAACGTTTGAGATAATGTGATCGCTGATTGAACAGAATCTGAAAAGTTACACCAATCACAGCCGGTGAAACAGAATGTGTTTTAATGTAATCTTAACCATATTGCTTTAGTTTTATCGAAATTTAATCGCCAACTTGAAGTAAATAAAATTAAGATTAAGATAATTTCTGGTCACGTGGCTTTTAATCATTTATGAAGGCTCTGTATATGCGATCCATGTTCCCATACAGTTTTGTGGTTCTACGGTTCAGCGGGTCAAAAAAAGGATACATTGGTCTGATCCACTGCCCAGACCTTTTATTTTTTCTGGCACTGTCTAATTGTTTTTGGTGGGAAAATTAATAGTAATCAAGATACAGTGTATCAGTGTTAAAATTTTATATTACATACATTCTTCTACAAATCTGTTGAAGAAATTCAGTCTATTGAAAAATTTGGTTCCAAGGGATTTTTTGAGGTGAAAAAATCCATTCAAGAGTTTTGCTGTATTTGTGCAGGGGACCACCACAGATACTTGGCGTGTCTTTAAGGAGGTTCGATACCAAAAAAAAAATGGTAAGAAAGTTTTCAAAGCAATTGAAATATGTTAATAAATATGCAAACTGTCATGTAAAAATATCAGATCGATTGCCAATGTAGTTTTTTTGAAAAATGATATTAAAAATTATGCTCTTATACACAGGCTCTTATGAGAGTTGGGGCAAAAACTTTAATCAAACGTGAATATTGCTCTTAAAAATGGTTAGGATCGGGAAAATAAAATTGTAGTTAAAGAATTAAATATTACTAAACATTTTAAAACAATAAAAATATTACAATGTAATTATTGAGATAATGGAATGAATATATAACGTTTTGACAAATTTGAACAAACATCTGATCCAATGAAAGGAAATATGGCAACACTGTACGCTTTGACTGACGCGCTATATTTGAATTGCTCGATTATAGACTATAAAATTATTCCAGTCGAAAACATGTGTAGTAATAATTAATATTAAATAAATTTTTCGTGATCTAATGCAATATAATAGCAATTTGAAACAAAAATTGAAAGAATAGGATCTCTTTGCAAAACGAACAGTATAGATGTTCTATCATAATCTTCAATTTGACAAGGCAACATCTCACTATCATACACTGAACTTCTTGATAGTTATCATATGGATGCTCGGTTTGCACATTTTACTTTTTTCTCATCAATCCACATTCTGTTTCATACGCATTTTATATTACTTTTCAGTGATTACTTTTCCTTTGTACCTTGGATGTTCATTCATGTTTACGGAATAAGCGCAAAGTTGACAGTAATGACAGTTAACCCAACTTTTACCACCACGCCATAACAATGTTGACAGACTTCATCCATAATTTTACAAGCTCTTAATGAATAAATAGACACTTTTATTCAAATAAAAAGTTAATTGCCGTGCATTAAACACGAAAAATATATGCAAGCTAATAAGTGTTGTATAAATTTCATTCGTATATATTATATTTAGTTCACTCAAATTAATTTATGTAAGGTTGGTACTACAACGAAACTACCATGTATAAGCATAGGCTTCCCTCCCGCACCGCCTGCCCCGCAAGAGATGTATCGAACATCCTTAAGATGTAAGTTTTATGTGCTTTAGTGTACCATTATTTTTAATAAAAATTTCCATTTTGCTACCTTTACTGTGTAATAGTGGTACTATTATAAAAATATCTAGGCAGCACACTTACCAACACAATAATGTTTTGTTTTGTGTGTTATATATTCAATTATCTTTACAATTTATATATTTTATTTATCCATTTCATTTTATATATAAAAAAAATTAGGCGAACAAAGTAATTTTTAAGGTTATGGTCAATCGTAAATTTAGTGAAGTGAAATCGCAGTGGTTCATTTGCTCTTCTATACCCAGAATAGTTACAGGGATAGTTCTAGAATTGCATAATTTACGATTCTGTAAATAAATTACTCGTAGCTTATAGAATTAAAAATTTACAGAGAAACACAGAATCAACCCATCCGAGGGACACAATTTCAAAACGAATGGGTTTGATTTTTTTATACAATTTTTTTCCCATAAGTCTGTAATGGATGATAAATAAATAATTTATCAAGACAGTTGAATTGCAAGGAATGTTTGAATTTTATAACTTGAAATTTTTTTTGATATATATAAATATCATGTACAAAAAGGAAAGAAAATCTGATTCAAAATGTGGAAAACAATATCGGCTACTCTTTTTTGACTCGCATCAGTCAAATGAAAAACTGCAGAATTTGAAGACATGTCGAAAAGAAATTTTAAGACCAATCTTGGACTGCAGACCTTAGTTTGGAAACCTCTGCTATGTTAGATAAAATAACAAAAACTTGCTTGTAACACACATTACCTTCAGTTAAGTCAGCTTTAGAGCTACTAGGTCCTGCCATTGCACTTGTTTGCTGTGGTTGTTGACGTTGGGGAGAGTCTTGGGGTTGGCCAACTTGTTGCGAATATGGTGATGGCGAATCTCTTTGTATGCCCTGTTGAGCTCCACCTCGGCCACGGCCCCGGCCTCGGCCTCTCTGCGATTGCTGCTGCTGGTGACCTTGGTAGCCCTGCTGTGGTTGTTGGACTGGAGGACCTTGTAATTGTTGACCTGGAGGACCCCGTGATTGCTGGTACTCTGGCTGTGGAGGTTGAGAAAACTCTTGCGGTTGAGGATGTGGTGATGGCGATTCCCTTTGTGTATCTTGATATGGGCGACCCCGTCCCCGACCTCTTTGTGATTGTTGACCTCCCCTTGGACCCTGCTGTCGTTGTTGGTCATGATGACTCGGTTGACCTGGAGGACCTTGCTGCAGTTGTTGTTGTTGACCTTGAGGGCCCCAAGGTTGTTGTTGGCCTTGAGGACCCCTTTGTTGTTGATTTGGAGGACATTGTTGCTGTTGATGTCCTTGATGACCCCAAGGCTGTTGTTGGCCTTGAGCACCCCTTTGTTGTTGACCTGGAGGACCTTGTCGCCGTTGTTGGCCTTGTGGGCCTTGTTGCTGGCGTCCTTGAGGACCTTGTTGTTGTGTTGGAGGACCCTGCTGTGGTTGTTGATGACCTTGAGGACCCCGTTGTTGTTGCTGTTGTCTTGGAGGGCCCTGCTGTTGCTGGCGTCCTTCAGGACCCTGCTGTGGTTGTTGATGACCTTGAGGACCGCGTTGTTGCTGTTGTTGAGGCGTTGGACCTCCTTGTGGTTGTTGTGACTGAGGACCCCTTTGAGGAGGTTGATCACCAGAACTTCCTTGTTGTTGAGAGCCTGAAGACTGCCCTTCTGTATCTTGGGATTTTCCTTTTTTTCCTAAAAAAAAAATAAAAAAATTAAAAAATAGAAAAACTCAATATGCATTTTTTACTACTGAGGATTCACAATATATTCGATGTCGACAACTAAAGACCAAAATTTATTTATTTCTCTCAGGTAGACATATTGCCTAATTTTATTGAAAACATAGTAAAACAAATTTAAACAAACAAAAATACAATCACACATTTAAAAGTTACCTACAGCATTAAAAATAAAAACAAAGAACAAAAAAATTGAGTATTTCTAGAAGGTACATTATTAACCTCTTAACCGGATATGACAAATATATCCGCGTATATTAATCATGTTTATCACCAACATATTCACAATCCCATTTTTGGAGGGGCTATTAATAGATAATTCAAATATGTTTCAAATACAAATATTTAAATTATTTTTCGATGACACCATTATAAATAACACAATTGTCGAAGAAACAAACATGTAATATTTATTTTCTAATAGGTAACTCTATAATTCTCATTTCATAATTGTATTTTGTATTTGTAGATACGTCACTCAGTTTATTCTTCAAAATCCTGAGAACATCGGACCCAAATCAAGAATTCGGAAGAGGAAAATCACAAATCCAGATGAAATAAAAACGTTTATTGCAGTACCGTAGAACGGGGATACTTGGAACACTTTTCAAAAACAAATCTTCAGAACTCATAAAGTCGCGGAGTTTATTCAACTATAAGGGGACAGCAATATGTAAGAACATGTCTTCTTTCAGAATATAATCATTCTTTTAAAATATCTGAGGTATTTCAACGTTTTAATTTTTTTTTGTTTGGTGTTCCAAGTTACCCTCAAAATTGCAAACTTGGAACAGTCGTTTAAAATATGATATGTTTCATTTTATGAGTTAGTAGGGCATCATGGAACACTGAACTTGTTTTTAAAAACAACTAATACCACTAATTTTACCAGAAAAACGCTTTTTATATGAAAATATAATTTATTTCTTCAAAAAGATCCCACAGAATCATCTCTAAACCTTTAAGGTCGCTCTAAAACTAAAATAAAAACTAAATTAATCATTTTTTGGTGCCTAATAAGGACTAGTAAAAAATACAAATAATAACATTGTACCTAGGTACTTTATACATTTTTAATTATCTGATAACAATAATTTAACTAAATGTCGACTGGGTAATTTGCAAAAACTTTTAAGCCTGTTTTTCTCAGGTGTCCTAAGTTTTCTTTAATTTGCGATATGTCTATATCACATCTGGATAAAAAAAAATTTGTTTTTGACAAACCCGACGGCCTCAGGAATTTGCACTCAAAAATGTGTTGGTCTTTAATATTCATCACTTCTCCAACATAGTTTCTATATTTCTTCTTTCCAGTTAGTAACGGGAACAAAACCAACAAAAAATGTCCTATTTCTACCTCGATTTCTACTTGATTAGAATTATTTCCATCCTCTCGTTCTTCTACTGTAACACGTTCTTGCTGAAAGTCATTGTCAGTATTTTCAAATGACTCTTCTAAATCCTCGAAACTCTCAGGTCCAACTGATGAATTGGTAAGGATATTTCAGCATCAGTGTCACTATTATCCTCTTCCTCTAACCCAGATAGGCTTTTGCCCGGTTCGACAGTCAGTCTCTTTTTCTTTGTTGGTCGTGTGGTTTTATTCCCGTAACGCATATTTTCAAGTTTCTCTTTTAAGGCTGTAGATAAAACAGTTTCATCGGCTTTCATGTTTGGATTGGGGAGCCTTTTTAACACTTGTTCTCTGTCTAAAGGGTGTATGCCTGTAGCCTTGAAACCAGATTTGATAATATTGATTTGATTATGTTGCATTGATTCGAGTGTCTCATTAAATAATGCAGGGAATTGAGATTTGGGAATACAGCCTGAGTTTGAAAGTTTCCATTTAGTAATTGTTTTCCGCCAACAAATTTTGAGTGGCCTAAAAACGGCAACATCTAAAGGTTGGTACAAATGTGTGCTGTTAGGTGGTAATAGGATGAAATGTATATTGTTTTTACGGCAGTCACTAATAACTGTAGACGAAATATGGCTCGACAAATTGTCACCAATAAGTGTCTTATGTACACCATCACCAATTTTTTTAAAATATGGTAAAACGATGGTAAAGAACCAGTCCTCAAAGACTTTTCCGTCCATCCATCCAGATTTAGTCCTATTATATCTTGCTCCCTTGGGGCCCCTTTCCGTCCAACTGTCATAAAGGTGTTCAGCCTTATATATTATGTAAGGAGGTAATAAGTTTCCATCAGCTGTGCAGGCCATAATTATGGATGTGCTTGATTTTGAGGAATCCAGACATCTTTCAGGATGTTTGGTGCCACGCCTTACTAACACCTTTGAACGTCCTGGGTCGTCACAAAGATTGGTTTCATCATAATTAACTACAGCATTTGGTGGGACGTTGTTTAGTGTCTGTTCTAAATTGTTAAAATATGCCGATATCGTTTCATGTGAAACCTCTGCCCTATTTCGTTTTATATTTTCTGCCAAACGATTGGTTAGCTGTGGGTGTCGTTCTCGAAAATAGCTAACCCAATCTTTACCTGGATAGTTTTCTTTAAATCTTAGCTCCCACCTTCCTAGTTTTTCTAGATAAGAATGTATGACGTCTTGAAGATCTCTTGTAGTTAATGGGAAACACCATTCAGCGGCAATCTGCAAACCCTCGGCAATATTACGTTCTTCAGTTTGTGAAAGAACTGTAGGTCGTCCTACCTTGTTCATGTTTGTATTGTTGCATTTTCTGCTTATTGTGCCAAGAGATATCTTGTATTTTTTTGAAGCCTGTCTTAGAGTAAGAGTTTTAGACTTAATGTCAGAAATTGCTTTTTGAAGATTTTCTTGAGTATAATTCGCATATGGTCTGGACGGAACTTTTTTTTGTGATGCCTTGACATTTTTAATGGAATCTAAAAAAGTAACACAATGAATTAAAATCAACGAAAGAAAACTCCGTAAAACTTGGAAAACGCCGTAAAACTTGGAACAGGGCGTTCCAAATCACGCCGTTTTCTAAAAACCGTACACTTAACAAATATTTTAGCCATATGGCAACACTGCTTAAAATATCGCCGAGAACAGATAGCGAATGGAACAAGGATACGTGCTTGTTATAACCTTGAAATTTTTAAGCCGCCAAGTATTTTGACGACATCTGTACACAGGAAGTTATTTTCACTAAGAAACTACAATAATATTTACCTTTTTATTATGTAGGGCACTAGTAACGATAAATTAAACACAGATATCACAAACTACGTTAATAACTTTGCAAGAATATCGGCAACTACACATCGTGTTGAAAACACCTGTGAATATCAGATGTTGCCACATGTCAGAAAAAGAGTTAGCAAATGAACTTTCGTTCCAAGTTACCCTTTTGTTCCAAGTATCCTCGTCCTACGGTACTGATTTTGCAAGGAGTGTGTCTGAAACCATCCTATGAATTGTATTTCAGTAGACGAGAAAGCACTGAAACACCTATCTTCGGCAAAATTAAAAAGGGGAAAGCGATTTTGCTTACTATTAAGTTTCTACACTTCACTGATAACAACCCTATGGATAAAAACCGACCCAATAGAAAATTATACAAAATAAATCCCATTCTGCAGCACCTAAAAATTAAATTTATGTCTGTATATACCCCCGACAAAGGCGTCTCTGTTGATGAGTCACTCGTGGTCACTCAATGGAAGCAGTACATCTTTTCCAAAAGAAAGAAGTTTGGTATAAAAATGTTTGTACTTTGCGAAAGTTCTTCTGGATATGCCTACATTTTTACAATCTATACTGGAAAGGATACAGACTATGGAAATAAATATAATCAGGAACTATTGGCAACAAGAGTTGTTTTATATTTGATGGACCCGCTCTTAGACAAAGGATATTATTGCCTTTTTATAGACAACTATTATACAAGCCCCAACTTAGTTCAACGATTACTGAAACAAAGAACTGACTGTATAGATACTCTTAGAACAAACAGACAAGGAGTTCCACCAGAAATAAAAAACAAAAAGTTAGAAAAAGGTGAAACTGTGGCGTTGTTTAGGTGTAAAGTTATGATTCTCAAGTGGAAAGACAAGAAAGATATAACGATGCTAAGCACTGTATATGATGATATGATAGAAATAGAAAGAAGAGCGGGTACAGTAAGAAAGCCAAGCGTTGTATTAGATTACAATGAACAAATAGGTGGTGGACTTAACTGACAATCTCCTTGATTTCTTCTCCATGTCCAGAACCCATTTGAACAAATTTTACAGAAAAATTTTTCTACATAATATGCTCAATATTATAATTTTAAGTAAGTAAGTAAGTAATATAACATGTTGTACTGAAAGGCATTTCCCTGCGATTATTCCGCCCACAACCCACAAAGAAAAACCATCTAAAAGATGCATATTATGTACAGAAAAAGGAATACGAAAAGAATGGAGGTATTGGTGTCTGGAATGCAGTACCGGCTTATGTCCCGCTCCATGCTTTAATGTATATCATACAAAATAAAGTAGCTACTTTTAGGTAAGTTAAACTTAGTACTGCCAATAATTATGCCATTATTCTGTATTCCCATTCTTTATTTGTCCTACTTTACAATGAATAAAGCGTATACAGCGTATAATTTGAGGTGCCATTACATTACTGACCAACGTAAATGTTGTGTGCCAGTTAAGAGGTTAACTGACATGTCATCGGTGAGACTACATTGGAACAAAATGATATGTTGACATATAAATTATATACAGGGCATTTCATAACCCTACCGACACAGAGCAGGCATGTGTGTCAGAGATACACAGATTTATTATGTAATATTTTTTTCTAGGATGTACCGTTGAAAGGATATTGGCCTTTGAAGATGTGTTAAATTTTGAAAAATAATATTTCAGCAATGCCTTATCATAGAGCAACTAAATTTGGTACCTGATTTGCGTTTATTGTTATCTTTAATTGGTAAAAATATCAATTTGTTGGTAACCCAATAAG